GGCGGGGATGAGCACGCCACAGAGCCTCTATACCGCTTCCCTAACCAAGGCTAGAGCGCGGAGGACCAGGGTCTCTCAGATGTTGTCTACTCTACAAGAGTAGCTCGCGATGACTATGACCATCTGCGCTCTAAGCCTAAGCCTTGGTTAGGGAAAGGGTTATAGAGGCGCTGTACTCACCACCACTACTCCCACCCCCTAAATAGGTCAGCACAGACAAGAATTGCTAAATTCCAAAAGCAATATATAACAGAAGAGTGCAAGCTGCGAATGGTTGCTTGATTACTGTATATTATTGCAGGAATGAAACCGCTCTAGGAAAGCACTACTTGTAAAAACAAAATGGAAGACAAACCAGTTAATCCCGATGTTGTTTTTGAGGTCGTTAAAGAGAACTGCTCTCTACAAAGACTCAGAAGGTATTGTGATGACTTATTCGCCAAATGGTGCAGAGTGAACGCGATCAATAACATCATCAAGGGGTTTGCATAGCGAGTCTCTCCCACTGACGAGCCTGAAGTACATTTTTGAATGAAAAACAGCCATAAAGCGATACAGCAGACACAAGCAGCACAAATCATGGGAATGAACTAACCATATGTTTCAGCGATAGCAGTGACATCTTTGAAAGCTCCGATCACTATCTCTTCATGGACACTTCGAGCAAATTCAGCTTGGAACTCCGAAGGAGGTAACGCAGAAAACGTGACGTCACTAGCGATAAACAACAGCAGATTCGCCAATGCAGTCTGAAATATGCGGTCAGAGTTGAGAGCGTATGAGCATCAATGCAGTAGAAAAAAAAGACAAACGATAAATTTAAATCAAACAGAAAACGACCTTTGGAGCGGAGAACAATTTGTTCATGAGCTTTACATACAATAGCATGGCGAATTGAGAGCGCGCAGAGATTAGTTGTCCTGACAGTATGCACTGAGAAAGAAGTGCGGCGCTATTTGATATTCAGCTTAGTGCATGCCGTACACTGACAATCCCCAGCAGGGGGGGGGCAGAGTTGGCTCTGGTTGGAGAGGGAGTCGCTTTTGCGTTCAAGAGGAATGCTTTTGGTTGTTGACTTTTCTCGATTTTCCCTTTTCATGTGCACTATGAAGCTCACCCCCTCCCATGCTCCCACTCGACGGCGGTTTTTGTTGTTTTTTTTTTTGGGGGGGGAGGGGAGTATTGTAGAGTCTTTGTAAAAAAAACAACTGGAAAATTGGTGAGAAGTAAGGGGTTCAGGAAGATGGTGAGTAGACGGGCAGGTCGGATGGGGAAAGCGGGCCGTAGCGGAAGAGGAAATATTGAGGGAGTGGGGGGGGGGTTGTACCATGCCAACAAGATTTCTCCAGCGGAAACGTGCTTCGATTCAGCTATACCTCGGGCAAAAAAACCATAAAGAAGGATAAAAATTTCGCGTTGACCTGTTCCTCGCAGGAATGCATCCGCATTTTCTTCTATTCAAAATCGCAGAGGCATTTCGAGTGCGCTTCGGTCTATGCGCGTGTGATTTTTTGAACTAAGGGAAGCACAAAGCAGTGGCTTCATCGCCCTGGACAAGTTTGGTTCCAATAAAAAAAACCCAGGAGAGATGGAAGCCCTCGACGGCCCGGGCGAAGATAACCCGAAGTTTGATCCCACGACGACGCGCGTGGTAAGCGACGCTACATGCCACTTGATACTACATCTGCCATAAAAAAGTAACATGAAACGTATGACAAACCCAACATCTAACGTGTAAAAGATTGATAGAAGGAAGGAATGGTTCAATTATTAGGGGAAAAAACAAAAAATGTTGGTCCAACATCATCCCGAATCGAAAATGAGTCAGTAAGTCACACATAAGTGCGATCTCAAAGAGATAAGAAGCACGAACTCGTGTCAGCTGCACGCTAACTCTGCAGAAAGTGTTGCTGAGATGACTAGGCAAACATGAGTCATCACTCACCTTCACTTGAAAAACGAATGCTTGTTCAAGTTTCGCTGCCAATGCGGGAAGATCGACATCTTTGGCCATTAGAGACTGTCGAATCTTAAGAAGTTCAATGTTCATGGACGATACTATCCAACTTATCACGAGAAAAGTACCTCATGAAGAACGACTTTCATCTCTTCGGCAATGTACTTTCGAGAAATAACAACTTCATGTTTGGACACATCACGAATCAACGATATAGTGCAAGTAGAGCAGTCCAGACCTGAAGACTCAAAGTGATTCGGTACAAACGCCCACAATGTGAATACCCAGGCAACCGGTGACGAGCTTATCTTGATTTACTTCTGCGTGGTGCACTTCCACCTTTCAACTTGCATCTATCTTTATGAAGAACAATAATAAGATAGTTCTCGGTAAAAAATAATAATAATAATAATAATAATAATAATAATGAGTTAATAATAAGTTGGTTCTCGGTTTCACCGGAGACATCCCATCGATCACTTTCGAAGCCTATTGCGACCTATGAAATCCTGTAAAGCTGTGCAACAGCATGAGCTTACATCTGGACAGGATTCTACAGGTTTCACCGAGGTGGGACATGTAATTCAACAGCAGCCGATAGAAAAAAAACTTTCAAAAGGGCAAAATGCCCCACCCCAAGCCGATAGCGCCCCAATATCTGAAGACAATGGTAGTTGAGGTTACGAGACCAGGCAGACGTTTCATAAATGGAAACAATAACCCTGCAGTGCACTGTTCGACGGTAGCAGTACGAGAGGTAAAATGAAAGGTGAGCCAACGAGTCGAGAAGAGATTTAATGGGAATTTTCAAAAGGATGAGTATCTCAAGAATGTAATTAACCAAAACCAAATTCTTCGTCAACAGTGAAGGAAGGAAGTTGTTTGTGACATTTAAACATACATAACTTAACAGAAACAAGCTTACCTTGAACAACTTGCTTACAGGTGGACATTTTCCTATAATAACGATCAAGAGCACGAACAACAATAGAGCAGTCCTTTGGATCGGACGACGCAAGAAACAAATTTGAAACAACCTCATGGAACTCAGCGAGCTGGGTCTAGAAAGAATGGATTAACAAATGAAGCCGAATTGAGCAATCTCATGCCCCAAATGAGGCTGGCTGCATAAGAGCAGAGCAAACCAAAGACTAAAGAGTAGAAACCTGCAGCATTTTGAGTAGAAGGTCAGATTCGTTCGGGAACAGACGTTCATGGAGGTTTGCCAGAAGTGTGAGATTTGGTATGAACGACTCGCATCCTCTACAGTTGCAGACGATCAAGTAAATAAAGAGAGATCTAACAAAAAAAGGCTCTCAGGAAACAACGAACTTGTCAACAAGATCCAGAACATCCACAGGATTGCTTTGAAGCTGCTCTAAATCGTTTTGCAGCGAAGTTTCGGAAGACTTCAACAACAACTCTTGGAGCTGCAAAGAGTGGGATTCAAATTCAGTCCACGAGAACTAGTACACTACTGAAAACCTCTTCTGATGTCTTTCCCAACTGCATGAGCAATCCTGTCGCCTCAACGACACCTTCCACATCTTCGGTAGATCGGCTTATTAGTTTTATCAGCTGAAAAAAAGCTAAGGCACCTCAGTTTGAGTAAAACAAGAAGTGACACAAATAGATTACCTGTTTTTCCGTTTCAACGATGATCTGATCCACCTTTTTCTGAATCTCGGTAATATTCTTGATATCGGAATACTTGCTGAGACCTTTTTGGGCCAACAGATAAATCCTCACGACATCGTTATACTTGCCTTCCTCGAAAGATGCCTAAAATCTACACTAAAATGCGAAGGAAAAACACTAACAAGAACAGCATAACTACCAAAACAGAAACTATCTCAGAAGTGATAGCAGAAATTGCACTTTGACCTAGTATTCAATTAGGTCCTAGAAATGCCCTGTGCCATTGAGGAACAGAGACCCGAAATTGTATCTAAACACTTCCTGGTTTATCCGTTTCTACGAATCTCTGTAGGTGCTGGTGTAAACACTGCCTCGTGCATTCGTGACTTAACAATGTTATGTAGGCCCACTCCGTGGGAAATGCAATTTAATTTGCTCCAAAGTCACGGGTTGCTTACCACCCGAGCCAAAGATCTTTCCTCCCTGTTAGTTCA